ATTATATAATAATTATATATGATATTGTATTCTTAATATACAATATAATTAATAAAATCTAATATATTACAAAATATATAAATGTAAAACCAGTATAAATATATAAAACCCACACGTATATATATGAATATAAACCCACTGTACAAGCACAGAAAAAGCAATTTATAGCCATAAAAACAGCAATATTTTGGAATATATTGTTATAAATATACGGTGACGCTGCAGCAGCTGGAATAAACATACAAACACTTATTAAATAAGGAATAAATCAATGATTTGGATTAGAAATAAACCAGGAAAAGCCTCTCCTTGCCTGTAAATCCTCGGGCCAAAGGGAAACCCTTCAGTGTGTTGCCACTGAGTGGCAGCACAGCTTGTGCCCACACGGCTCCAGGATTCCTTCGGAGGACAGGGAAAGCTTATCCTGGCAATGATAATGGAAAATAACGGGAATAAACTCCTGGAAAAGCTGGGTAGGGGTTGCAGGGACCTCCCCTCTCCCTGCCCTGGGAGGTGCCTGGTTTTTTGTCCCCAGAGCTCTTCCCTGGCTGGGCTAGGGGGTCAAAAACATCGGAAAAGAGGGAAAAGTTGGGAGCTGCTGTTAAACCTCCTTGCTGGCAGAGCGTGCGGGGGCACAGGATGGAAGCCGGGCAGGAATGCGCGCCTTGTTTTTGTGTGTTAATTATTTCCAGCTGCCCGCGCTCCGCTCCGGGGAAAAAAAGGGGGGATGGGGTGAATTTTTTCGTTCCGTCATCCACGCTGTCACCAGTGGGAGTAAAACCTTCCCGGACCGCGGCCGGGATGCTCCGAGGAGCGCGGGAGGAAGGTTTGTTTTCCCGAGCGCCGCTCCGGAGGAACCCGGGATTAAACCGAGAAGGACGTAGGGCGGGATTTTGGGAATCCCAAAGGGGAAAGCACCCCTGGGGACACCCCTGAGGGGCCGGGCGAGGGGTGCGTGGGGAGTGGGGGGTCCCTATCTCGGGGGAGCACCGCGCCCACCCGCCGCGCCCTGCCCGCTATCGGCGGGGCACCGGGATGCTCCGATACGGGACCGGCCGCGGCTGCCGCTGCTGATGGCGGGGAACAGCCCCGGCTGCGGCCGGGGGGACGTGGCAAAGCTGGGCTGTGCCTCCCAGCTGGCCTTTTCCTCCGCGTGTTTCTGTAATTATTGCTTAAAAGGCCCCGATTCCCATTCTAAAGCCCCCCCCGGTCTCGCTTTAGGGTTGATAAAGCTGTTTTTTTTCTCTGCCTGCACAGTGGTCCCAGCTCCATCTGCAGAGCCCTCGTTCCAGCCTCTTTTTCCTCTTTTAATCACATTTAATTGCCCACGAGGAGTGGTGAAACCCATCACCGCTGAACAATTTGACCAAGGCAGTGGCAGAGCAGGACCGTGGAATCCTGGAACTGTTTGGGTCGGAAGGGACTGTAAAATCACCCAGTTTCCCCTCTTTTCTGGATCTAATCTTTCCTGACTGCTAGAAACAAAGCCATAAAACAAAAGGACACCCATTCCCAAACCCAGGATTCCTCCCAGCCCGCTCTGCCCGGTGCCACCAGTCCACCCTGGGAGCACCACCAGCATGTCCTGCACCTTCCCATTGTTTCCTCAGGGCTTCAAACCAGAAAGGCAAGTCGGAGAGGGGGAACAAAAAATAAAATAAATAAGTTTGGTCCAGGAAATAATCGCAAAGCAGGTTTAATTACACACACTGGGCATCGCCTCTCCCTGTCCCATGAATCCAGTGAGCTCAGGAACGGTAAATTAGGTCAGATTATGTGAGCACCGAAATAAAACCCAGAGGCCGAATTCCTGGAGTCCACACCTTCACCTCGGAGCTTGCATAAAAGGAGCTGTCTGGGTGGCTTCGGTGGAGCTGCAGTGCTGGGTTTTCCCATTTGGGCTGTTTTGGGGATGGAATAACCCCCCTCTGGAGCCCCAGCAGGGCTCAGTTCTCCCTAATTTTCCTTGCTGATGGCCCTCCCTGGCATCAGCCCCGTGCCCTGTGGTGCTGTTACCTGCAGACCTGGCTGTGAAACCAATTCCTGGGTGATTCATGGCAAAAAGGAGGCAGGAATGTGTTTCAAAGCTGGGGATGATCCTGCTCTGCCACCTCCTCCTCCTCAAAACAGTCAGGTCGGTTAATCCCGATGGGGCTTCCCTGCTTTTAAACCCCCCCATTAATCCCTGCTCTGATTAATGTTCCCTTGATTTTCCAGCACCACCAAACCAGGGGGTGCCTTGTGCTGGTGTTCCCATAAGTGGGTCACTCCACCCCGAAGACAAAACAGGGCTTGTTTGTTTGTTTTCCTGGGGTTTGCTGAGCTGGAGAGAAAAAAAAATAACCTGAAAAATCAGGTTTCCAAGCAGACGATGTTTCTCCATGGCTCTCCATTCCCAGGGGCATCCCAAATTGCGGCCAGATGGGCAGGAAAACCCAGGCTGGTGCCATAGGACCCTTTTCCAGGGCATCTCCCGAGGCTGATGCTGCCTCAGAGCTCAGGGTGGTTCTGGGAGTGAGGTCCAAACTCTTTGTTCAAATTGTATTTTGAGGCCTTTAGCATCTCTGAGGAAGGATGGGGTTGGGATACGGTGGGAAGGGCCATGTGGGATGGGGAATTGTGCCCTGGCATGTGGGGTTCCCCCATGAAAACCATCTTTTCTTCAGCAAAAGGATCTGGCACCAAAGCTTGCAAAAAAAAAATATAAATAAAAATAATGGCTGTGGGGGTATAAAATCCAGGCTGGTTGTTCTGCAAATGAGATTAAAGACATATTAACCACATCCATTTGCTCTGATCCCTCTCCTTAAGGCTTTCTACCAGGCCACCTCATGGGAAGGATAAAACTCCAGCAAGGTGTCAGGGGACTTGTAGGTTTGAAAAGTGGTGGGGAAGGGGGGTAAAATTCAAATGCATGCTGGTGGGTGGTGGTGCAGATAAGCCCCAGGTCCTGTGCCCACCTCCCAGCTGGCCCCTCCTGCCTTATCTGGGGGGGTGCAGCCGGCGGGTCCTGCAGCTCCTGCCCCAGCAGGGACCACGATAAGCCAGCCCAGGGCCCTGTAATCAGCTGTGGGTGCCAGGCAGATGCTCCAGGGGATGGGCACCTGCTGTGGGCAGGGACTGATGGAAGCAGGAGCCTTCCACCGGTGTCTTCACCTCTCCTTGTGCTGGGTTTGGGCCGTGTCGAGGCTGCCCGGGGATCTCCAGGATGGGATTCACCAACCAGGCCCTTCCCAGGGCACACCCAGGGAATCAGCACACAGGAGCGTTTCAAAGGAAGGTTTTGTAGATGAAGTTGAGTTCGCTCTGTCCATGACTCCCTTTTGCCAGGCTGGGGTGGCAGGGAACCATCCAAGACACACAGAGCTGTCCCTTCGCCTGAAAACACGAACCACAGCAAACCCACAACCCAGAGCAGCCTCTCTGCCTCCCTTTCCTCACACAAACAACGAGTAATTTCATCCCTTCTCCATGAACACAGGGAAAAACCTCACTCTGTGGTTTCTCTTGGGCACCTGCAGCTGAAGGAGCTGCCCCAGGAGCGGGAGCAGAAAGGATTCCTCATGTCACTGCTCCAGGGTTAAAATATAACCTGTTCCTACCTGGAAGCAGCACCTATTCCACACTGATTCATGGCATTATCAGGGAGCAGGACCTCAGGCTGCAGGGGAAAGGGTTCATTAGGGTAAGCGACACTTTAATTCCCCCTCCCTGCCCTGTCAGAGGGGAGGAGATTAAGTGCCTTTGATTCTTGCTTCTGGAGTAGAAAACCCAGATAAAAACTCGGTGGAGCAATAGTGGAAAACGCTGCCCCTGAGAGTTTTATTTCAGGCGTTTCCTTGAGTCACAGGAGGGGAAGTTTCTTGTGGCCACTTTTGATTCGTGTGTGGCAGACACAGGACGAGCTGTCTGCCGGGGTTACAGGTGGGGGACACAGCTCTGCTGCTCCAAAATGTCACTGGGGCTGGGAAACACGGGGCCAGGAGTGTCAGCAGCACAGATTTATTCTCCTTAGGAAGAAACAGAGGTGTGATAATCCCGTGCCTTCTACCAGGGGGAGAGGAAGGGGAGGTTTAGCAATTCCTGGGTTAAATTGCGTGCTGTCAAAGGGACTTCACTTTCCTGCTTTTTTTTTTTTTCTGGGCTCTGAGGATGGTTTTGCTTCCTCCCCAAGGCTCGCTCAGCAATAAATTGCTTTGCATTGTCGTGGAAATGGTTAACCTTGATTCCAGCTCGTGCCACAAACACCTCCTTCCCTGCAAGGTCGAATTCCAAATAATCCTTTGAGGAGGAATGAAATAAAGTCAGGGCCGTTCCCGGCTCCCTGGGCCACAGAGACTTTGCCTCCTGCTCTCTGAGAGGGTCAAACTTAATTTTTTTATTGTCAATGATTATTTTATTTTATTTATTTATGGGCTCATTTTATTTATCATAATTTTATTTTTTATTTTGACTTATTTATTATTTTTATTTGTGATCTTTATTTATCATTATTTTATTTATTATTTTTTATTTATGGCCCTTATTTATCATTTCATTTCATTACTTTCTTTCCTCCCGAGGACGCTAACACCTATGTCCTCCACTCTCTCGGCACCTCGTTTTCCATCCCAAAGCACTCTTCGGAGCCGGAGCGCCGCATCTTCCCGCCCAATTCCAGCGCAGAAACCGCGCCCCCCCCGAGCCAGCCCGCAGGCGGGCTCTAGGACCGCGCGTCCGCCTCGCCGAGCCCGCCCCTCCCAACCGCTCAGCCAATCGTTACTCTTCATTCCGCCAGCTCTCTTTTCCATTCGTTCTTTCCGCTGCCAATCTCGTGACGTTGAAGAGATCCAGCCAATGAGCGTGGCGGGGCGGGACGGGGCGCGGCTTTAAAGAGGGTCGGGGGCTCCGCGCGGTCCCTGTGCCCGCCCGGCCCCGTCGCAGTCCCGCGTGTGTCCCCCCACCACGCATGGAGCTGAGCTGCGCCCCCGCAGCGCCCCCGGGGCCAGGGCCGCCCCCCGGCCCCGCCGTGGCCGAGGGGGATGAGTACGAGAGCCTGCCCAGCGGTGCCGCGCTCGGCACGCACATGGTGGCCGGGGCGGTGGCGGGAATCATGGAGCACACGGTCATGTACCCCGTGGACTCGGTCAAGGTGCCTGCGGTG